GTTAGAGAGCTGTGCTGCTGGCGTCAGTGTCACAGCAGCCCATCCTCGCGGGCGCGAACAGCGCTGCCCGCCGCGCTGCACTGATAAACCCTGTCAGCCCCAGGCGGGCGGTGGGATGCTAACTCCTAATTAGGAAATAGCAGGGGAGACCTCTTTAAACTGCTGCAGCCCGTGCAGTTTGTTAGCCAGGCAGCGGGTGAGATAATATCGTCACTGATTTAAAAAAACCCCTCTGATTTAAGACGACCTTAACATACAGAGGTATCCGCATCTGTGGTGCTTGGAAAGCATGCAGAAAAAGAGCAGTTATACGTGCTCAGAGTTAAAAATTCCTTTTCAGAATACATTTAATCCCCTGGGGCAGCAGGCATGCCGTCTCTTTCTTCCGGGTTTCTTCTATTCCCCCCCCACCCTCTTCTTGCAGTCTGGGAAATTTCCATCTGTCAAATAGCAGCCAGACTGTAAAAGGGGCACTATGCACATTAGGATGCAGTTTAATTGCTTGTTTCATTTGCTTTAAGCGTTGCATTTCAGTGTCTGACTGCAGGAACTATTTTTTTAAGTTAAGTCTGTATGGATTAACAGGATCAGATGGAGCACTTCAAAACAGATATCCATCTCCAACTGTCTTGGACTTTGGCTTTAACACCAGTGCCCCTTTCTCCAATACCTTGGGCTTGTTTTGCCCAGATAGGCTTGTCCTGCATTTGCAAATGTACCAGTTAGGAAAGCACAGGCTGTTTTATGTCTGACTGAAAGCACAACTATTTACATCACAGAATATAAAGATCAGGTTCCTACTCATGACTTGCAGAGGCACTTGAAAAGCAAAACTGTCATCAGTCCTTACGCCTGCCTGAAAAAAAAAAAAAGGCCTTTTGAGAGTTGAATTTGATAGGGAACAAACATACTAATTAGCTTGGGATTTTGGATTAATCTTCAGATTCATGATGTGGATACTGGGAAATGAAAATATAGCTAATGTTTCACGTTCTGCTTTCAAGCTGACAGAAGTGAAATCAAGTGTGGGTTTTGTTAATGGACAGGCTTTCAATTTGGTTGCGCTGTGTTGCACAGAAGGAAGTTCACATACTGTTGTTACCAGTCAAAGTAACAGAAAAGCAAAAGCAACTCAAGGAAGTTAATAAGTTTTTAAATACCTGTAACTATACTGAAATGGGGATCTGATGTCACCCTTCCAGTAAAATGAAAAATGTTAAAATTCCAAGTGGTCAGTTCCATTCACATGGTAGCTTAGACCATATTCATTTGGTGCAAAAGCAGGGATTCCCAGCACATTTAGCCTTTTATCAACTTGACAGTTACTCTATAAGTGCTAAGTAAGGAAATCTTTCTTCATCTAAGAGTTGCATGAAAGGTAAACCAAGAGCATGTAAATCAATGAGCTTTGAGCTCTCTTGAAGAGTACAAAACTGAAAATCATGTGCAAATGAAAAAAACACTTTAAAATCTAAGCAAAGATATTTCTCCTGCCTTTCCCCCAGGAAGCCACAGTGCTTTTTTTCAGCAATTGTCTGAAGAGCATTCATGATAAGCTCATTTTCACAACCTTACCTCATATTTTCACATACTCATTTTAGCTCACATGCAGCAAAGTCATTATCACACTCATTTGCTCCATCACAACCCCTTCAACCTTTCAAAATGCAGGATATCATTCTGCTGGTGGCCAGCAGAAATGCCTTACCTCTGGCTGTCTGCAGAACTCCGCACTAGATGTGGGCTGGTCTGTGTAGCATTGTTTCTCAGTGAGTCATGCACATAGCTATAGTTTCTTCTAGGCAGTGCTGTGCTGTGCACGATTAGCGGACTCCAAGGGTGACATTGTTTCCTGAATGATGTAACTGAAAATTCCTCTTCCTGTGCGTCTTGTTTCCTGATCAGTTTTCTCTTTGTTCTAGAAGGCATTCCAGCAGCTGCATATCTTTTATTCCTACAAATCTCTGCAAAGACAAGTTATGTCAACAACTACATTAATTAATTTGGTACGGAATGGAGGGTATCAAGTAAGAAGGAGAGCTGTGCTGACATCCCGCCTCTTGCAAGACGAGAAGCGTCCAACAGCCGCCTGCTATAGCTCCACATCTGAGCGCCGTGCTTCCCGCTTCGATCCAGAAGGGAGTGGGCGACCTACCACATGGGATACCTTTGGCATCTGGGACAATCGCATTGATGAACCTATTCTCCTCCCGCCAAGCATAAAGTATGGGAAGCCAATTCCAAAAGTAAGCCTAGCCAATGTGGGCTGCAGTAGCCATATTGGAAAACGCAAGGAAAATGAAGACCGGTTTCATTATGCTCAGCTGAGGGAGGACGTCCTGTACTTTGCAGTATATGATGGACATGGTGGGGCAGCAGCAGCTGACTTCTGTGATAAGTACATGGAAAAATACATTAAGTAAGTGTTCATCAAGTGCATACATGTCAAATGAATTACAGTAGAGATTTCTTCCTTTGGACTGAAGGGGAACTGGTGGGTCATACACTGTCACTAATCCTCCTTGGGTTATAGAACCACCTAGCCCAATGGGACAGCAGGAACACAGGACTGGAACAGCCCATTACAATAGACATGCTATGAACTACTTATTTTGTATGGTGCCTGCCCTACTGAGCAAGCCTGCAAAGACAAAAGGGGAAAATACGATCGTACCCACCTTCCAGGAAAGGACTGGGAATGCAGAGAGAGTGTGAACTGACTGTTTGCAGATGGGGGCACTGTGATCACTGACCTACTTCTTGCTTACACTCTTCTGTTATCTGTGTGTTGCATCCATGGGTGTTGGAAGAAGAATTTGTATCTTTGCAGAGTTACAGAATTATGCTTCCAGTGCAGGTCTATTAACCTTTCACTGAAATCCAGCAATATTCAGCGCATGCAGGGAGGAGATAAGGCTGCAGAAGAGATTGATCAAGATGTATATTTATTGGAAAAAACTTTAATTTCATTTTTGCTTGTTTGTTTCCAGAGAATTTCTTGCTGAGGAGGAGAACTTGGAAAATGTTTTGAATAAAGCTTTTCTAGAAATAAACAAAGCATATGAAAGGCATGCTCATCTGTCTGCTGATGGTAGGTAAAAAATATTCTACTCGAGTGGGTGTGGAACAGAAGGTTTTTCTTATTTACTCAGTAGTTTTATAGTAAAATGTCCAGAAAAATGCTTGAAAACAGTTTCATTTAACATAGGATCTTGCTCTGATCAGTTACTGCAAAATGAAACAATTATGCTTTACCTCCTTAAAATGAAAAGGCTGTAAAAGTCCATATCAGATTTACTGGGGAAGTTATTAATCTGTATGTTAACATAATCATAAATGAATTCATCTTAATGTGATAATGTCAAGGAAAGTCTGTGTCAGGTTAGTAAAGAGTGATTTAGATTTGCAAGGAGCATGTGTGAGGAATCTGGAGGGGGGTTTAGTTTGGGGATTATTGTTGGGATTTTTGATGTTGTTTTTTGGGGGGTTTTGCTTTGTTTTTTTAACTGTGACTCCTGTGGGTAAAAAGCAAAAGTGTCAAAAGAAAAGTTCCCCTTTCTGACCTCCTTCCTGCGGAGGAACATAAGCCAAAATTAATACAATTGATATTGCTTCTGCACAAACAGAATCATAGGAGTAACTGAGTGTGACAGGATAAAAAGCAGTGAAGAGGAAACAAAGCTGGCTGTGGTAAGGCTGTGGTAAAGCTGGCACTGGGCTTTTTAGACTCCTTAGTCCTGGCTGTTAATCAGGTTCTTGTATGTGTCTAGAGACAAAACACATCTGAAGTTCCAGTTCCAGCAACTGGAGCTTATAGAGAGTATCTTGAGAAGGGAGATTAGAGGTCCCCATCCCAGCTCTGTCACAGCAGTTTCCTTAGACATGGGATACAATTTTAAGGGTCAGTTTAGCCAGTCTTAAGAAACAAACAAAAAAACCCAAGCCAAACAAACCCAATTTAAAAAACAAACAAACAAACCTCTAAAACACTCCCACCAAAACCCCCCACCAAAACCAAAACCAAACAAAAAACCCCAAACCAACAAAACCCAAACCAAAACCAAACCATAACAAACCACCAAAACCACAAGAAAACTCTAAACCACAAACAAAACAAAACATCCTCTCCCAGTGCTGGTGCAGGTGCTGGCAAAATGACTGAGGTCAGTTTCAGAAGATCAGAAACTATGTAAGTTTTCTCTCCAGGAAGGACTTGAAACCAACAGCCACTCTAGGGACTGAACTGATACTGTATTCTCAAGCTACTATTCTTGAGCAATGAATGAATACGCTTAAGTAATGGAGTGGCTTCCTGCACTTTACCTTCTAGATGAATGTATCTAGACTCAAATATTTCCTGGCAGGACCAGTAGCCTGACTCTTGCAGCACTGTGAGGGATATGCATCTTTCCTCTTACCTGGTACAAAATAAGGTATTGGGGGAAAAGTCTTACAACAGCCCTTAAAAAAAGGAGAATTAAATCTATAAAGCTCATTCCCCCATTATATCCCTTTTTAGTTTATACTGGAATCCATTTTTAAAAAAAGGATGTGGTAAAGAAGTCCAGAGTCACTTTTGACCTATTGGGTGAGTTAAACTCATGAGCTCATCAGTAGAGCAGATGTGCTTCTTATCCAAGAGCCTCCTTGCAAATACATTTTCCTAAAAGCCCAATTTTAAGAAGACATGTGAATCCACTCTTATGTACTTCTCTGGACCAGGACCTTTCACTAACATGATGATCTATTATATTTGTTCTTGTACCTACCCTTTTGTTAGTAGGGCAGCTCTCACTTGGCTTATTGAAGTGACCTCTGTTCAGTGTCAGAACAGCTCCTTGAGGAGAAGGATTGGGAACTGTACTTGGTATATTATTCTGTTATTCTGAAAATGGTTTCCAATTGTAGCATTTCATATGTGAGACTTACAGAACTGGATGACATTACCTGACAGACAAGTTGTGCAGGAAGCTGAGCGTTTTGGAACTGTTTATAGTATTTTTTTATATTATTTAACTAACTGGTACTGCTTAATGAAATATAATGCAAATGCCAGCAAATTTACATTACAGTTACCAAGATACTGGACAAACCCAATTCATTAAAAAAGCTTGAGGTCAAGCAAAATAGAGGGCAAAAGCATTGCAAACATCCTCTGGGGCCACGCTCTGGCAAGCACTCAGTGTTTCTCAGGTAGGCTGAGCACCTGCAAGCTCTTGCAGGAGCCAGTGGGATTTAAAAGAGCCCAGTGCTCTTGATTGGTTGCCCAGCTGAGAATCAAGCTGTAAAGCAGAGAGTGGAGTAACAGCGTGCAAAGACAAGTGTGGATTTCTGAATAAATAAAACTTTTAGCATATCTCTTGTTAAAATAATTCAATATTATGCTGACTGCTTGGTGTGGATATTTTTGTTGTTGCTGCTGTTTTGAAAATTACATAAAATTTCAATGCGTGGCGTGTACCCTTGTTAGAAGCCTACTTCTAAACTAATTCAGTTTGCCAGCAAAATTTTGAATAATTGTGGCTATTCTAGATGTGACAGTCAAGACTGTTGCTGAAGTATCTTGAAAATGGTGGCTGGCTGTGTAACACTGGATATCCAGGGAATGCTGGATGCTCCCATGACTAACCTCCTTCTGAAACCCGGCCATAGCTGATGAAGTGGAAAGTAGTAGCTTAGTCTTCTTCCAGTAGCTGACCCCACCAGGGTTCACTCCTTTCACTATATCTACAAAAAAACCCAGTGCATGTTCAGGATGTCCAGGTCTTTACTAACACATGACCAGCTTTGAAAGGTGTGCCTGGGTGTTTAAAGGAATGTAAGCCCTGGGACAAATCCCTGTAGCCAAAATTGCACGGATATAGTTTAACACATTGTCTGTATTACTATTTAAGGGATAAAAACCTCATATAATGGCAGAAATCTAACAGGACTAGAGATGTCCCTTGTTGGAGTACCTAGCTACATCTGGCATGCAGTTCACTAGTGCTGTGGGAATGCTGTACTTGTCCAGTATCCCCTCTGACAGTCATCTGTAGCTGTTGTTTCACACAAAAGCATAAGAAACTTACTGGCATAATCTGTCCTCCACCTAACTCCTTTCTAATCATTAACAGCTTAGAGGTATGTCTGAGCCTTGAAATATGGTGTTTGAGATCTCTTAAAAAATGTATTTTCATTCACTTCCACATTTAAATATATCTAGTCACTTTTAAATCACTGCTAAATTTAGGTCTAGGACACAGCAAAGGAAGCTGTCCAACAAATTATCCATGCGAGAACTGTTAACACAGATGGACAGAATTTTCTGATATTTTGGACCTGCTATAAAACCTGAATTGTAAAGGCTGAATAGCTTTGCTCAGCAAGGACAGAAATAAGGAAGTGAACTGTGTGCTTCAGGAAATTTGAGCATCTATCTGGAGAAATATAAGACAAACCCTCTCCTGGCCTAGTGCGGTCCTACAAGGTACTGCTGCTGCTTCTGTTCATTGTGATCCACTACTCGGAGAAAATAACAGGGAGTCTTTCCACTGACCTCCACGTTCAGTTCGTCCAACTCTAATCACATTGGCCACTCACTTCTGGAATAGCCATCTTATTAAAACATAGTCAGGTATTAACTGGAGTATCTATGTTTGAAAGGCACTCCTGGAATCTTACTGTGCTGAGCAAACGGCAAAAGTTGTTTAACTAAATTTAAAAAGTGGTGGGATTTGGTATTGTGGTTTTTTAAGTTACCATTCAAACATGATTTTTATTTCTTTGAATATGTTAACCTGCAACGCTGAGGAAAAGGGAGAGATGCAGAAATTTTACCTGAATGTATCATAAAGCTATCAACATTACAAAGGTGGCCTTTTTATCCTTGTAATCCTGATTATTACCTAATCAAAGTAGAAGATACTAATTACACTATTAAAGAGTGTTTATTTTGCATGTTTTCCTATGGGCCAGAACAATTAATGTACTTCTATTCCATGCCTTTAAGATGGCCCCATTTTAGTTGGCATTAGTTTGAATTACCCATTTTTGTGTTACATGTAAATATATATATAAATACATAAATAACCTTGAAGAAACAGATTGGGCCATATTCTGCACTGAAGATGTTCAGAGTGGCCACTTTTGCCATATATGAGACAGCTGGCCCTCTAGCACTGCTAAAATTCTTTGGTTGATCTTGGGGTTGGTTACTTACCTCTACAGAAAGAATAACCAACCAAAAGTAGCTTTTATTTGACAGAATTTAAACTGGTTTTGTCATACAGTTTTAGCAAAAAGGCAAGAATGGTATTAATTCCCCAGAAATACCAAGACTGATTTATCTGTAGCAAAAGATGCATGTGCAAGCCTCAGGTACTTATAAATGACCTGCAAAAGAGTGCAGGCAAACTCAAGAGTGACTATGTCTCCTGTTCTGCATCTCTTATTCTTTCATCTCCAGTGTTGCAGGTTTATTTTGTTTGAACAAAGTCCCTGGGTGAATTTCCTATTTGCCTCTGTGTGCGTGTTATTTGTGGCAGACACTACCTGGTCAGCAACTCTAGAACTGGAGGCCCTCGACGCTATATGCTGGGCTTCAGTGGAAAGAGAGATCTGCTTAATTTTGTCCCAGGTGAAGGAGTCCAGCGGTTCCTAGCCTGGACTACTGGAAGGTTCCCACATCCTCTTTGTCACATTAGTTGAGATGACTTGCAGTAGAAGTTGTCCAGTGAGTGTTAAGAACCTATTGAAAGATCTTAGTTTTATAGTGATATTGTTAGGAAAACAAAATAAACTCTTTAATTGTTAAACCCAGTATATATATGCAACGTATTTTGATATTACTAAATAACCTAGCAGCAGTTGTAATAAAGTGTTAGAAATGTTATCCCATCATCATTCCTGTGTTTTTGAGCTATGCTAGAAATCATGTAAGGCTTTTAAGTCAAGCTACTAGTTCTTGCAGCCCTACCCAGATCATGAACATGTTCCAAGAAAGAGAGCATGAGCAGCATTTCTTTTTCCAGGAGTGCTATTTAACTAATAAATATATATAAAGCTTAAGTTACCACAACTATTACTGCAATTCTGGGCAGTATCTTGACTTGTTCTTTAGTACCATCCATTGATTTTGTAATCATGGCTCTTTTCTTAAAGAGTTTGCACTTCAAAGATGCAGCTTCACCTGAATGTCCAAATGTTTCCAGTCATTTACGAACTAAAGACTACAGATCTTAACATTTTCAGAAACTGCTATGTTTTTCAACATAGCTCCAAAACCAAGGAATGAAATGGAAGAGTAGTGGCAGTTCTGCATTAATTTTAATGTCTAAATAAAACATTTTCTGTGAAATACAAAGGTAGTTTTACATAGGTTCTTCATTTCACTTGTTTTAACTGTTGCCTAAAACAGGTATTTTACTGGTTCTACTAAAATTTCTAATTGCACTGGTACTTGTTAGTATCTTGCTTTCATAATGTGTCTCAAAGTGAGCCTGCACTGGACTTGTCCTTCAAATTAGAAACAGGATGTCAGTGCTTACCTGAATAGTCAGAAGCTACTGGCATCTAAATAGTTTTGAATATCATAGCCTGCATGGCAGCCATAATGTAGTCTAAGATTTGTCCATGGTCACTGTGGTTGATGATCATGATTGACATGTTGGTTAAGTGTATAGCTAAACCAAGTCCTCACTGCAGTAATAATACCTGTTTTAAATAATAACACAAGCTTAGTTTAGACTGTTTTGTGAGGTTTTTTGGATTCATCAACTCAATACTTTTGCTGCACAACAAGGCTCAATGCATCTTTCAGGGCTCCGTACACTTCAGTTTACTCCCAATCCTCTTTTACTTATGGGGTGCTGAGACCTTGCAGGGTTAGGGAAGGAGGTCACTGAGATCTCAGAGCACTCTTATTTCTGTTTCCATAGTACACAGAGGGTCGTGCCACATGTACACTATTTGCTAGCAGCTGATCGGAGGTGGGACTGGCATGCAGTCCTGTCTCAGATCCATCCACCTGCCTGGGGTCAGGGCTGTAGGGCCAGAGGTAGGAGTGCACATAGTTGTAGCTGAGTTCTGCATTGATGTGGTAGTAGAAAGATCTTTAACTGTTAGTAATGGAAAAACAAGAATGTAACTGGGGATTCTTATTTGTAAATTAGCCCAAAACGCCTCTCAAATTGGCTTGCTTTTAAAACCTGGGAAAACTGGAAAAGCCCAGAATGCAGGAGACCTACAGAGGGCCTTTCAAGGGGACTCGCACTGGCTGTGAATGCAAATGTGTTTTGGGCAGTAGCACATGCCAGACATTTTACTGTAATAGCTCAGGTCTTTCCAGGCACCTCTCACGGGGCTACCTTTGCATAGTTTGAGGAAGGGAAGATACTAACTGTAAAACGGAGCTGCTGCTTTCAGAAAACAAACAAAAAAGGAAAGCTGGATGGTTCTTCTGGCATTTCTTCACTGCAGATAAAACTACAGTTCTTTCCTGAATTAAGTCAGACTCACAGACTTTTCAAGCACTTATTTTTTTCCAGCGTTGTAGAAACTTAAGTAAGAAGCCCTTAAACTGACTTGCAGCAGTGGATCCATCCAGGTCTCTGAACTCAGTCAGCTCCGCTCTAAGAGAAGGAAGGCAACACCTAGGGTTTGCCCCCTAGGCACCCCTACGCCCCTGTAAACAGATCCCACTGGTGTCCAGGGCAGATTGCCCAGGTGACAGCCACTGCCAGTTGACTGCATCGGTCTACAGGCACAAGGCAAGAGGCAGAATCCAGCTTCACCTTTGCACTGGGACCTCCAGCAAGCTGACAGTGTCTGAGGGGAGCAGTGTCCCCTTCTGAAAAAGGCCAGAGACCTGCTGGCTGAACTCTTCATCTCTTGACTGGGGGAAGTAGAGGGAGATTGTAACCACTCTGACAGCAGCAGGAGGATGACATGAGCTGGTATAAAGGGATGACCTGGTGTTTCTCTTTTGGTGAACTACGTGGAGCTACAATTACTATTAATCAATTGCCCACTTCACCACCTAACAGAAGGCAAGAGCCATCAGCTTTATAGTGGGTCATCCATGCAGTCACTGTGCCCAGGGACAAGGATGATAACCCTGTAACTTGAGGTGAGCTGGTGGGACAGAAAAACATTTGGCTGCAAGCTGAAAAAAAGCCACTGTACCTTGTACTGCTTTTACTCCACTTGCCCTCTTTGCATGGAGCCATGTTGTTGCGCAGAAACACTTACCCTTTCCAATTCCTCACTCGCCTCTCAGTCCTACATGCATGTTTCCTATGTTGTTTTTTTTTGTATGTAGATTTAGTTAAACTTAAAAGCAGTTACTTACTGGTAATGTAGAGCACAAGTTGTCTTCATTTTACCAATTTGAACTGTTGGTGTTATAAATGGTCCTGTACTTTGAGGCAGTGCAATGCTAAAACCTCTCTCTTTGATATGACGTTTATAGCAACTCTGATGAACTCCGGGACCACTGCAACAGTGGCTCTGCTCCGGGATGGTATCGAGCTGGTTGTGGCAAGTGTGGGAGACAGTCGTGCTCTGCTGTGTCGAAAGGGGAAGGCCATGAAACTCACCACTGACCATACTCCAGAAAGAAAAGAAGAGAAGGAAAGGTACCTGTCAGCTAATGGCGATGTGGCTTCCCAGGGCAGGGCCTCAGTCAGGATGTGCTGGTGTATTGCTGCTGGGTTGGGCCTGGAAGGAAGCAGAGAGTTGAACATAATGTCCTGAGACCACCTCTGAGCAGGCAGAAGGCAGCACAGCTCCAGTTAATTCACTTGGTTCCATTTAGAGGACTGGGGATGTGGAAAGCCCTGCACGACTATGAACTGTCTCAGCAGTAAGAACAGCATAGCTAGGACTTGGTACAGAGCTGTGACTACCTGGCTCAGACTTGTCCAAAACTACCAAGTTCGAGAAAAGACCTGGAGAAATGCATTATGATGCCTAGGTCAGTATTCAGCCCGCCAAGATGCAACCCTTCTGTGGACCACTTTGAACAGCTAAAGCCAGCCCTCAGTCTCCCAGCTTAGGTCCTTCATACCCTATTCCACGTCAGTAGCTAGTGACAAATTGCAGATAGAGACATGGGTAACAGTGTGAAGCAGTAACTCATACTTGCTTTTTCTTTTGTGCCTCTGGACAGGATTAGGAAGTGCGGTGGCTTCATTACCTGGAACAGTGTGGGACAACCTCATGTGAATGGTAGACTTGCAATGACACGGAGCATAGGAGATTTGGATCTTAAAAACAGTGGTGTGATAGCCCAGCCAGAAACAAAAAGGGTTCAGGTAAAAGAAGACCTGGTTAACAGGGACAGCAACACTCAGACTAAGGGCATCATAGGTATTTGATGCAGGTGGCGGTATGCACATGATGTGCCCAGGTGAAGCCTGATGGCCAAGCACTGGTTTTTATTTGCGGTGAAGTTACTAGAGACCAATTCTAATTAAGTAATTTCAAATTATCACTACCAGGACAGAAAACAATCTGGCCCTGATACTAAATTCAACCAGATCAACTTCTAAATCCCATTTCTCACAGTACACTGTAGCATGAGGGAAGAAAGATAACATGATATCCATTACTGAAATACAAAGGTGTTAGTCTGTTTGGATCTTGTGGTCAAATTAATAGTTTTGACGTTAATGCTGATATAAAACCATCACTGAAAACTAGGTGCGATATGGACGGGCTGTCATCAAAAAAATCATCGTGGTTTGCATACTTGGGAGGAAGGGAGGAGAAGGGGGCAGTTGCATGCATCTTAGTTGTCCAGAAAGCAAGTTAACCACCCAGAAGGTATTCAGCATATCTGCCTTCACTTTTGCAGGAAAGCTCTCCTCTCAGCTGATATTCTGTTACTTTCCCCCACTGCCACTCCTGGGGCCTAATTAAAGGTCTTAATTAAATGCCACTAGGCCTGAGGGGATTAGGGGTATGACCACAGTGCTATCACGTCTTCCTTGAAATCCTCAGTTTAAGGAAACCTTTCTTTTACTGGGTCATGTATGAATCTGGGCCTTTGGCCTCAGTGTATTCAGAGGGCTGCCTCACAGAACTGGAAACACCTTCAGATGCTTTCCTCCAGTGAAAGGAACAGAGTCTGTGTGGCTGATGGATGTACCTGAGGATTCAAGAGGCAGCCTTTGGCTAGCCAAGGGTTTGGGGGTTCCTGTTAATCCTTGCACAGAAAGCAGGAGAGCCCGCAGCATCTCCAGAAAAGGTTCAGTGCAACAGAGTGTAAAAAAATAAAGGCATTTAATTTGCCTTGCAGCACTTGCTCCACTGTTGTGCATACTGTGTGCTTTTGCAGTTGCAGCATGCTGATGACAGCTTCCTAGTCCTCACTACAGATGGTATTAACTTCATGGTGAACAGTCAGGAGATCTGTGACTTCATTAGCCAGTGCCATGATCCCGCTGAAGCTGCCCACGTTGTTACTGAGCAGGTAATGCCAGGGCTTATTTTGGCATCGAATGCTTGTTGTTTTTTGGCTAGTTGGTTATAAAAAAACCAAGTGTACAACCACACATTCAAGTGAGTTGCACTACACTGCTTGAGATATTCACTAGTGCCACCACCCAGCCTTTGCCTTACCCTGGGTCTTGCCACATCCTTGCCAGGCAGGCATCATTTCAATTAACTTGCTTAGCTGACAGTCCACTGAACTGCATGGGACAATAACTACAGTTTATTCATGTGCTGAATACGTGATCAGCGTAGACAGAAATGGCCAGTTTCTGACCAGGGTTCTGGATGGCGGCATATCCTATGGAAAGCTCTGGGGCATACCAGAATGGAGTATCAGGGCTGGGAAGGCGCAAGCAACTCTTGGGCCTCAGGGCATGCTGTCCCATGTGGAGCTAGACACTTGTTTCCTTTTCCAAGCAAGGTAGTCATGCTGACAGCTTGTTTCTTCTCTCAGGCAATACAGTTTGGCACGGAAGACAACAGCACAGTAGTTATAGTGCCATTTGGAGCATGGGGGAAGTACAAAAATGGTGAGATCAACTTCTCCTTCAGCCGCAGTTTTGCTTCCAGTGGGAGGTGGGCATGAAGACCTGCCACAGCTATCTTTTCCTGCCATAATCTGGACACAGCGTGCTACAGGAGAAAACATCCATCTGTTCATAGGTTGACTCGTTGTCTTGTCCATCTCTTCTGTTCCCAGTGTTATAGAAGATGCTACTACTCCTTGGTGTGTAATGACCCATTGTTGCTCATGGCTGATTGCATTTTGCTGCAGTTATTTATTCCAGTCAGCACTGAGGCAGCTATTTCTTTGGGTTTGTAGTCCCAGTTGCTCTGCACGTCACTTTGTTCACATAGGTGGGGCTCTGGGCTTTCACCTAAGGCTGGAGATGCACTATTGTTTCATACCTACTTGTATTACCCAGGACCCTTACTTACCTTGTAGCTGTGTATGTCTGAGTCTGAGCCACGTGCTGGCTTCTTTGTATATTAATACATGGGGGAACAAACACACAGCCTTGTAGTTAGACAAAAAGCAGGTTTGTTGTCTTCCTCTGTTGTGCAGCCACCGAAAACTCCCCTATGCTTCAGAAGTGGGTGAAAAATAAGGGAGAAGTGTTTAGGTTCTGATGCCAGTGGCACTTGGTATAGCTGAACTTTTCTAGGAGAGTGCTGCTTTGCAGGGCTTTATTGTTCTCACCATCATCGCCTGTGATCCGCTGGCTCCAAGGAGACGGAGTGGGCTGGAGACACATGCCATTGCACAGAGGAGAATGTTTCTTCATTGGGTCCAAAGCCTGTATGGTCTCTACGGACCACACAGCAGCGGCTTGCACTGTCTTCTCTTTGGTGTGCCAGTGCTTGACAGGAGCACAGAGGAGGGCATAGGCTGCATGTTTTTGGTAGCCAGAGCCTCTCATCAACCTGAACGTGTTGGGTTTTTTTTTGTTTTTTTGTTTTTTTTTGTTTTTTTTTTAAGAAAACCAGCCGATTTCAGAGAATTTACTAATCATGGTTCTTTGGATGTATAAGAAGAGATTATTTCTTCATAAATATATGAGGATTTTCTTGCCCTCCGCTGAAGGTTCTTTCCATTAGTTGGGATCTCCTGTGCCTCTTTTACAGGAAACTGTAAAATGCCCGAAGCAAGTAAGCTAGAGAAAGGAGAGAGCATTATAATAATATAAGGTGATTTTTATAAGTTTTGGGTATTGTTTCTAGTATGTGTCAGATATTCACATACCTGAAGGTAGTTTTATACTTAAAGAAAGTGTTTCTGCTTCCCTCTCTGGAGGGAACCTGCATCCAGTGAGGCATGGCAGGGCAGCACTCTGAGCCAGCTTCTATCACTGCTGTGACACAGACTGCAAGTGATGTGTAGACAGCAGGTGAAGATCTGTTCCACAGTGTGCCTTGTTCAGACCTCCTTCCTCTGCTCCACATCAGGCATGCAGCTCCTCTGGCCTCCAAGTACCATGTTGCAATGAAATATGGGCAGATAACAATTGGTCTGGCTGCTCAGGCTTGTCACAATGTTTTTCATTCTGCGGATGTTTTCAACAGCACAGTTGTAAAAAACAACGAAATTAGTGAAAAAGAAGTTGCCTGATAGAAATAACCTTGCAGTAAGGAAAAATATTTGAGAGGCCTGGCCTGATTCTCATTTGCCAGTGTGAAGTAAGTGTCTTCATCACTTTCAGCCCTTTCCTTTTATTTTAGCCTAAGATTACAGCCTAGGCAGTCATTCCAAATGTTTTTCCTTGCCTCTGGCAGAAGGCCCAGGAGCACCCAGCAGAGCAATGTTGTACTGACAGCAGTAAGTACCAGTGTTTAGAGAGTACACTGGTTTTGTCCCATCGCTTGGTGTATACGATGCATATGTTTGGTTTATAAGTACAAAGAGCTCATGGGCTGATATATGTAAATCTCTGTTGTATTGGATGCTGTTGCCCAGGCCTCTGTAACAAGAGCATCACTGGTTTATGATAATAATTCCTTCTCTTTCCACAGATTTTTCCCAGGGTTGGGGTTAGTTGAAGATGTCCCTGCTCACTGCAGGGGGGTTGGACTAATGACCTTTGGAGGTCCCTTCCAACCCAAACCATTCTATGATTCAATTGAGATCAGAATGTTTGCTGGATGCAGTGCTGGGCTCATCCTTGCTTACCTGAGGCAGAGGGGCACTTTTAGTTGTTACCAGTCAAAGCAGGTTCTTCTTGGTCTGTGGCAAGTTTGAAGATTCCCACAACCTTTTGTGGCAAATATGGCAAAACACAGCTGAAAAGCCTTTCTCCTGCCAAAGATGTGACCTGCTAAAACAGTAAGTCCAATAGTTCATAGCAAAGGGTTAACCACAGCACAAAGCAGTCTTACTCCAGGCACAGAGAAGGGTTAGAGTCAAGCTCTGGAAATGGAGTTGCTGTGAGGGTGACTTTGGTATCAAGCATTAGACAGGCTTGAGTGGTGCTCCAGGGATTTGGACAAGCTCCATGGACGCTGTTCTGTTCCAAATGCTGCTCATTTCTGTTCCCTGCCTAGCCATCTATCCAGACAGAAAATAGCAAGGGCACTGGGGGTGTTTGTGACAAGCACTGATTTTTTTGGAGCGCTGCTGGATACTTGCCAAGCTGGAGACATGGTATTAAATGTCACTAGTGAAAAACACTGCAAATGAACAGCAGGTGCTCTGAGCAATGACCTGGCAGTTTGAGCAGCTTTTACACATTGACCCAGATGTAACGTGAAAGAGTTGCTTCTTTCATTGAAGGTTTGGGGCATTTTTTGTTTTGTCCCTATCTGGTTGCCTGATTGCAAAGAGAACAAAGTGGTTGGAGGCTTTTATTTCTTCTAAGATAGTAGTTATCCTCTCAGAGGAAGGATCCATCCATAACTTTGCAAAATAGATGTTGGAACTAGATGATCTTAAGGTCCTTTCCAACCATAACCATTCTATGATTCTATGATTAGATAAAGATGTATTGGTGGTTGCTATTACTGTCTTTATACGATCACAGAAAAACTTAAGATTGGAACGGACTTGTGGGTATCATCTAGCCTTGCCTCCTGCTCAAAGCAGGGCTAACTAGCTTTGCCTACTGCAGTGAAGGGATGTCTCCCAGTATGGAAATGCCTGGAAAAGGATATGAGAAAGAATTCAGCATTCAGTGCAGTTTACCTGTGGAACCATTTGACTGTACTGGATTTGAACACGTACCAGTATTTAACAGGCACTTTGTATAGGTACCAAGAAATTTCACAGATAAACTAGCACATATATAAAACCAAGATATAAGCCATTTTGCTCTAAGCAAAAGTGAATAATACTACTGACAGGGTTTTCTTCTATCTAGTCAATAAGCTTCCTGCTGCCTATGGCAGCTCTGCAAGTAACCAGCTTTACACCCCAGGGACCAGCATAGTTCTCTTGCCTAGCAGAAAGCTCCTTTCAAAGTTTGAGGGCAAAGAGGAAAATGTCCTAACAGCAGCAGCTGCCTATCAGAGAGGGTTTTTACTGAAGGATCATTAGAGGTATCTTACACTTGAATGAAACAAACCAGACTCTCAGTTTGCTCTCTAGCTCCCTGTCTTGCCCTTGCAGCTGTTGTTTTCACAAAAAGAATTTTTTATTGCAGATATGGAACTGAACACTAAGGGTAACCTACTGAGCAAAGCATAACAAGTGTTTGCCTCTTTTCCTACCTTTTAGGGATGGAGTCTGAACTCCACTGGACCTGGTAAGAGTATTTTCTTGCCTGAACAGTGGTATCTCTCAAGGTACAGGCACTGCAGGAGGGTGGCTGTGGGTGCAGAAAGGATGCTACCACAGGATCAGGATATCAGATCACCTTTTCTGTCCCAGCAGGTAGATGTACTGTGGTCAAAGGCATTGGGGTTTCTAGCTAAGGGAGAAGCACAAAACAGCACATAGCAGTAAAACTAGTTTAATTTTTTTTTTTTTTAATAAATCCAGTTGGGCACTGCTAAGCCCATTTGGTCACTTTTACGACAAGCCAAATGTATGGCATAGCAACACTGGGTGTTCGTTGGTTCCAAAGCTGCTGTTCTCAATGCAGAGATAGCCAGTGGGTGTCCTCTTGACCCAGGATATTGAGTGCTTGGGCAGCAGCATGTGTCAACTCTCTACAGACTTAAGTGCAATTGCATACATTTGTTACATAGTTAGCAGCTCTGTGGTTTAATGTTTATGTTTGGTGTAATCAGTGTCCATAATTCATTTACTTAATTTTATAGAGGTGTCCAATTTGCTTTTTTTATTTAAATTAATGTTTGTTCATCAACTCAAAGCCACAGTGGAGCAGATAAGTCTGTACTGGAAGGAACACTTAGGAGATCTTTTAATAAAGAATTGGCTTCTAGACTTGTGTCACTACAAATGGACTTTTCTTCTTCCAACTCACTGTGAATTCCCAGAAGAGTTTGTGCTTAAGCTGTGTTGTGACTGTCATAAAAAGTTTCTGCTAACCAAGGGTTTGCCTACAAGGACATTCACTCCCTGATAACCAGTGCAAAGCATCTTCTATCTCTGTGCTCTGTCAGCATCCATGAGCTTTGCTGCTTCAGGGCAACATGTTCTAACTTGCTTTTTTTTCTCTCTCATATTTTGATATATTACAATATCAAGACATCAGAAATCCCTCTCTTTAAAACAAGTCAGGCTTTAAAAAGTATTTTTTTTATGAAGCAGGAAAGCACGCTGGGTAGTTGTCATGGTAAGTGGTGCCAGCCTGTGACACAGGGGAAAGAAACGAATTTGGCCTCCTCAAGAAAAGAATACATGTTGGCTTCTGCATGGATTCAAGACTCTTCAGTTATCCTAGAAGTAACAATAAGGAGAAAATAATAGGCAAGGGTTTTAACTCAGTCACAGAAGTATCCCTCACTGTTACTTTAAATTACTAGTGCTTTTACAGCTGAACTCAAACCTACTTTTACTCTCTCTCCCTTGGAAGGAGCAGCCTTGACTTCCTAGTGGTTTCCTACGGCTGAACCCCAAACCTTCCTTTTAGGACTAAAGCAAGTCCTTTGTTGTTATCCATTGTTGCAAATCCACTTCTCAGCTCGGTTTGGAGCTGATCAGCTCTTAGATCTATGCATATAACCCTTGGTGGTATGCATGTAGTAAGCACTGCTCAGGGAGCTGAATTTTAAGAGCTTGAGTAGTGTGTTGGGGAAACCTGCTGGACAGCTTTGCCCTTTCCTCAGGCTTGCCCCTTGCACAGTAGTTGGGAAATGGTTCCCAGGTAACTCTGCAGTCGGG